ATAACATTTCGGAAACCTACTCCTTAACGATATATATTATATGAGGGTCTGGCTGGGGGTCCTTAGTTTTGGTATTATCTGAAAAAAAAGCTTATTCTGTAATTTTTTATGAAAATGATTTTACTATTAAATCTTTCTGTAATTAGATGATTTCTTCTTCTTTACATCGTCCATTTCTGTGATCAGTATCGTATTATCTAATTCTTTTATTTTTCACAGTTATTCTTTATACTTTTGGCCATTCTTATCTCTTCTGTAAACCCCATCCAGGCTTTCATATATATCATATACTTCCATGACAACACATTTTAAGTACAGTAATGATTTAGTCTGCGGTGGGGGTTGAGGGACGTCATGCCCAAACCTCTCATTTCAGAAATTGTTAAATATATTGAAAACAGTTAAGATTCCCATCCATTAACCATATATATTCTTATTTGCCATGACAATACATTTTCAGAAATATAATGTGTTTGTTGGACCAATAGATCTGAATTTTAATCAGGTTCGACCTTTTCTTTACTCGAATGACTTCTAAAAATCAAAGAGAGACATTCATTTTAGTCCACATAAACAGTTCTACCTAGTTGTGTTTTCGTCCTGGTATGCATGACATATTTGCCATTAGATTTAAGCAATATCTGATAATCAATTAATCGGGTTTGTTTTCCTGATTTTGTATTCGCGTTATGTATTATTTTTCAGATAAACAGTGAAAAATAAGTGAAGAGCAGTTTTTGTAAATGGCCAACTTGCTAACAAAGGGTGATATTTACTGCGGACCATGCGAATCTCAGCATTTAACAAACGTAGCAGAGCTTTGGTGTCCAAATTGTAATGAAGGCTTATGCTCAAAATGTTTGGAGTATCACAAGGTTTCAAAATCTTCCCGTATGCACAAAACTATAACAATAGAAAATTATACGGCTCTTCCAGAATTTGTTCGCAACATAGATCATGTCTGTACGATTCACGACAGTGTCCTTGAACTATATTGCAGTGTCCACGAGAAGGTCTGTTGTATAGATTGCGTAAGTACTGAGCATTCCGAATGTCCCGGTATCACGTCATTGGTTAAAGTAGTTCAAGGGGTACAGGAATCGGAATTTTACCATAGCGTTGTTAAACATATCGAAGAGATTACAGAGTTTGGCACTAAACTTCAAAACAATCGTTATGAAAATTTAGCCAGGCTACAACAAGAGAAAGACCTACTGTTTGAAAAAGTCAAATTCAAACGTTCAGAACTAACATCTCTGTTTGATAGATTAGAAGAACATCTCCTACAGCAGATAGACTCAACCATAGCTCAACAATCTGAACAAATAAATGAAGTTGTTTCTCGTTTGCAGAAAAAAAGAAGTGCACTGAAGGAATATGAAAGCCAAATTTCAACTATCAAAGAAAATGCCACTGATATTCAAGTGTTTTGGGGACTGAAGAAGATAGAAAATAATGTCGCCAATGAGGAAAAAAACTTGTTATGTATAACGGAAGAATCTGTTATGAAGGAGACCAGTGTTAAAATGAAGTTTACTAATAAATTCGAACGACTTATAAAAGATATGAAACGGATGGGAAATATAGAACTTAACAGGACATATACAGACATGCATTTTTCCAGAACGAAATCCCAAATCGCAAAAAAACTATTAGATATTCAAACAGGAATAGAAAATATCAAACTAACTTTTGTAAATAAATTTCAACTTCCGTTTGATGTGCACGTGGATATCAATATTTGTTGTTGTGCAATACTGCCAGACGAACGAGTTGTCATGGCAAACAACAACTCAAGCGATGACGTAGGAGGTATGCATATTTTCAGTGAAAATGGAGAGTATCAGTTCCGGGTTGTATGTTCGTCTACTCCATTTGGTCTTGCAGTCATAAACAAGTCCGATATTGCTGTATCGTTTTATAAGGAAAGATCGATTAAAATATACGATTTGGAAAATTTCAATGTAAAGCACGTGCTGTTAGAAGGACCCTACTTCTTTGGATTATCAGTCGAATCAGATTGTTTGGTTTCTGCAGTAAGAGATGTAGGTATTTACTTCATTAGATGTAGTTCTGGAAAGATTTTGAAAACTATCCCATGCGATATAAAAAATTTAACCTATGTGCATTTATTGGGAGAAAACACGTTTGTTTCCGATTATACAAAGGACATTCTTTATTGTGGAAATAGGGATGGAGAAACAGTATGGAAATATTCGTCCCATGCCATGAAAGGACCGAGAAGCATATGTACAGATACTGTTGGAAACATATTCGTTGCCGCCTTCGATTCGCAAAGCATAATTGCCATCTCCCCTGATGGAAAAGATTTCAAAAAAGTACTGGGATTCGAAGACGGCCTGAAAAATCCAAAAGCTGTATACTTTAGTGCGATGACATCTTCATTAGTAGTTGTTTCACAATGGGGTTCTGCATTTAAATATCATCTTTCCTATTTTTAGAATATATATAAGATTTTGAACTGCTATTAGAAAATAATGGTTATTTTGTGTGCGCCTCACCAGTGTTGGATAGTGACGAATGGGCCAAAGAAATCTCATAATGAATACTGTTCATTAAAATAGTACTAAAAACAGTTGAAAGTATATAACTCCAAAACATTTTGCAATTGAACGTTGATGACCTGTTTTGTTTCAAATATGATAATATTTTTTTTATCATTTAAACAAATAGTCACTTCATTTTGGACGACTTTTGTGTAAGCTTCCTATAACACAACAGTGTTATTATCAATACCAGCTTTTTTTTTAAATTCAATATGCCGAAAGCAAAGAAAAAAAAAACATTATCAAACAAATGATAAAGTGTAAGAAAGATCAATCGAACACTCGTGTCATCTTTATCCCTCTGAAAACACACGTTATAAACGGGCGCAGGACGTTTGTGCTTTTTTACCTGTAAAACGAAAGGACATTTGCGTTCCAAGCACTATGGACATTAGCGCTTTAAACTTTGATACACCTGATCAAAATTGACCATCGCCACGATATAGCCTTTTTGTGCTGATGCGGCGGAACGCAATCAACAATCAATCTAAATTGACCAACATTTGCGCTTTTTACCTATTAGAGTTTACCTGTAATCTTAACCAAATTTATTAAAGACAAAGAAAGATGTTTACTATGGAAAGCCGCAGTGAACCCCCCGAATTATTTTAATTTTTCCCATAAGAAATGCATAAAAATAATTATTCGGCGGCCTTCAAATTCCCGCCCGAAGATTTTTATCAATCCCGCCCGCAGATTATTATCATTCCCGCCCGCAAATTATTATTATTCCCGCCTGCAGATTCATATTTCTCGATTCTTATTGCGGCGGCCGCAGATTTTTTTTTTCACAAGGCCGGCAGATTATAATGACATAAACCCCGCCTTTTTACACAAGGCCTGAACATCGGATGACCGCAAGTTCTTGTAGATGGTCCGACAAGCACTTGTCTCAGAAAAGAAATCACATTTCTATACCTGAAAGTGAGGTTAATGTACAGATATAATTTTTTTCTGGGACAAGTGATGATAAACTAATGACAAGGAATTCATCCTCACCGTAATGACTATTATATTGTAGTGATACAAATCAGTATACTCTGGTTTACTGTTATATATTCTATTAATACTTGTATATTACAGTTACATGTATATATAATTTTCATGCATTTGTATATCATTCTATTCCACTATATTAATAATAGTGCGTTGCAAGTGCATGGTGGACACGTCACTCTTCTGTAATAATTCGATTTTTCTAATAGAATAGATTTGAGTAGGCATTCGTATTTTCCCGCAAAAAATGTTAAATCATCCATGCAGAGTTATCGTTCCTTGAGATTGCAAACGTTCTTGAGATATTCTTCCGAATGCGTGTGCATAGATATTAATGATTTTTTACTTATATGTTTATACATATAACAAAACATTTTAATATTATTAATTTATCTTCTTTAAAAAGTATTTGATAGTATTCATTGAAGAAATGAATTTATAACAAGCGATAAGGAATGTTAGTTTGCACTTGATGATGTCTACGTATTCATCATGTTTATAGATTGGTTGAAAACCCAAAACGAATATTACGTAATGGAAATCTAGGGGATAGCAATACACCGGAATGCCCTCACGGTCATCCGCTGTAAAAATGAAAATCAATTACGTGTTAAAAATCTTCTTTCGTTGTAACAAATGTAAACACTCGACTGAGATTTTCTCACAATTCATCTCATTTACAAAAGAAAAAAAATTGCTACTCCACATAAGAAACGATTTTCTCGATTCGCCCTTTCAATAGACTGAGTTTCCATTCAACACAAATATTTTTATTGTTGTGCTTCAATTTTATGTAAAAAAGCTGGGAGCAATACATGCTCCTCGGAACTTCCAGGGAGCGATACAGGCTACTCAGAACTTCCATGTTTTTTATTAATTCCAAAAACCTTTTGGTAAAATTTGGACAATTCCTTGATTTTAATAAGGAAGAAAACATAACACTTCAACATTTGGTACATAGGCGGATCCAGGGCCCGGGCCCCCCTTTCGTTGGAAAAATTTGGTGATTATATAGGGAATCACTGAAACATGACTGTAGCGGGCCCCTCTTATGGCAGTCAGTAGACCCCCTTATAAAAAGTTCTGGATCCGCCACTGTGGTACTTATCTCTTTCGAATGCATTAAATCTTAGCTGTTTTTCGTTTTGTTGTATATGCATCTACATATTATTATAGTCTCTTGTCTTTTAAATCCTCATGTTTCATTAACGAATTATTTTGTATACATTGTAAAAGATATTTTCTTAAGCTTTTATATCTGAATATCTTTCCCTTATACAGTTGCCCCTGTTTTTCAGATCTTTAGTTTGAATTAGCGTTTATGTGACCATGATACTATTTATGAAAATGAGTGCAAATCGATTGATTTTGAAATGGTGATTGGTCGGATGTAAAACAATAACCTAATGCATGGGAAAAGTGAGGAAGTGATAGCGAATTTCTTCCTCCTATTGAAAATTAAAAGCATTTTTGACATTTACTCTTCAATTTATAACAAATTTTAATTATTATAAAGTTCACTAAAAAAAGCGGACAAAACAAAGTTGTAGCTAGTAGTAGTAGTTTGAGGTTTTTAATGCCCTACACATCGACTTAAAGTTGTCTCAATTCTTCACGGTAAGTAGATGTCTATTAAAGTTGTCTCATTTCTTCACGGTAAGTAGATGTTTATTTAACTAATACACAACTAATACCGTATATACATGTGGGTTGAAAAGTATCAATATAAATATAAGAAGATGTGGTATGATTGCCAATGAGACAACTCTCCTCAAGAGACCAAATGACACAGAAATTAACAACTATAGATCACCGTACGGCCTTCAACAATGAGCAAAGCCCATACCGCATAGTCAGCTATAAAAGGCCCCGAAATCACAAAGGTAAAACAATTCAAACGAGAAAACTAACGGCCTGATTTATGTACAAAATAATGAACGAAAAACAAACATGATATACAGCAACAAACGACAACCAGTGAATTACAGGCTCCTGACTTGGGACAGGCACATACAGAATGTAGCGGGGTTAAACATGTTAGCGGGCGCCCAACCCTTCCCCTTACCTGGGACAGTGGTGTAACAGCACATCATATGAACAAACTATTCAATGTATTGATGACTATGAAGAAAACATAAACATCAGGTGTTTTCGAAAGTTAACATCTCTGTTTAAGTTAAAAAGTCTTATTTCTAAAAAAAAGTATAACGTTTATGCAAATACCTGCGAGCACATCCGCAACAGAATCAGAAGAATTATTGTATTTTTGTTAATAACTTGCTCAGTTGATCGGTCTTTGAGACGCCTATCTTAACTAACCTTTCATATTTTAAGTTTATTGAGTTTGAAATTATAGTAGATTAAGAAAAAATGTAACCAGCAAAAATAATCAGCAAGACAAGATCTACAAATTAAATCAAATCAAATCAAATCAAATATTTATTATTCCATTCATGGTCCCACAGGGGGCATTTACAATTAACAATTATGATAGTATAAGCAACAAACATGAGACATTGTACAGTATATAACGTGACAGATATTATAATAGACAATGAAAATAGCATTAATAACAAAAATACATTAAAAGTACTCTTGAGTAATTTTTTTCCCCTTCCTTCCTTATGTCCAGCAGTGTAAAAATAAAAAAAAAAGGTATTAATAATAAAGTTTGAACAAACTTAAATTATTATCTATAAAGATGGAAATTTGTTCATCTGCAGGAGACACCAAGGGACGGTGCTCTAGGATATACTGTTGATTGCGATAGGCAATAACAGCAATCCTCCCCGTGTCAGAAGCAGATGAACAAAATAAATAGAGAAACTGAATCCGGTCAATTAACAAATAATTATTATTATTTTATTTTTTTTAAATAACAACAATTGCTAATTATGCGAAACATGTCATATAAATCTGCTATTTGCAGTGTTTAACCAGGAATATACACAACTCTTTTAATGCAGTTAAGTTCTCACAAGACAACAGCCATAGCAATTTCTGTTGGGAATTAAAGTTAATGAAATTGTGACATGATTCCGAAATAATGTCATATAAATGGTGTCTGTCTTCGTTATATTTTGTGCAATAAAAGAGAAAATGAACTTCATCTTCAACATGACCAGAGTTACAATGCTGACTTAGTCTAAGGTGTGGAGGAGTACCCTGGCAAATAGGTCAACTTTTAGCCGAAATTATCACTCGACTCCTAGTATGAGTTTTGGTCAAAGACTATAGAATATACAGAGAAACTGTATACAGCAGGAAGATCAACAAAGAAAGATTTTACAAATTCCCACGAAATTTGAATACATGATTAGGATGGAATGTTTTTGGTTTGTCGTTCCAGAGTTAAACAAATTGTGACTTGGATGGAGAGTTGTCTCATTGGCACTCATACCACATCTTCTTATATCCAATTAAAGGACTTTTCCATATTTCGCACACTACCTTAAGTTTGCTTAGATCAATTTACTTAAAACGTTATGCCGTTATTGGGATTGACGAAAGAAAGCTTATTTAATTTTTTATTTGCGTACCCTTATGTATGTTTCGATAGACTTACTTGAACCTTTACACACATGTTTGAATTTTGCAGATTTTGCAAATTTTCCGATTTTTTGTTTTCATTCCAGAGTTGTAGGACTCTTTAATCTTCAAGTTTAAGGTATTTATCCATATGTCACGCACTAGCTCTGGTCTTGGGAGAAATTTATGTTGTTAATGGCTCCCTTTCGATTTAAAAATAATCAGGTCTGAAGTTCCCGAGTAATGGGATTTTGTAGTCATAGTTTTGGCAATCTCTATATGCCTTTAGATATTCTCATGTTACCTTTTCTACGGGGCCATTTTACTGGCTTTTGATTAAAAACCTAATTATTCAATTGTATTCTTGCAACAACCTCTATATGGTAAAGAAGGGCGGATCATGCGATCCAGTCGCAAGTACGGTTTATTTTCATACATATATCTAGACAAAATAAGATACTTTATTTCACATCCACTTTAGGAGTGGCAGCTATATTGTATCAACTTTTCCGTCCGTTTGTCCTTCCACCCGTCCGTTCGTTACGCCTCACTTTTCGAAGGTACTACTGATCAATAACAATAAGAATTAAAAACCAAATGTTCAGAGAACAATTGAAGGTCTTTCCACAAAAAAATATGTATTTTAATATGAAAATAGTAAAAATTTGGTTTAAAATGTCATTTCCAGCGTCAAATGATAGCTTATTGTACGCTGATTCCAAAAATATATGGTTTCTATACAATATTTTTTTAAAAAGGGAGATAATTTGTTACTTCCGGTTTGAAAAATGTCATTTCCGGTATTATTTAAACGTTTAATTGACACTGATACCAAAAATATCTGGTTCTATAAACTTTTACATTAATTAAGTACAAAAAAAGCTACTTCCAGTTTACACAAGGTCACTTCCGGTTGGCTTTTCTATTTTTAAATGGCTTGAAACCTAATGCAAAAAGTCCCATGGATTTATCATGTATACATATGAGGTAAAAGCAAAGGTCAAAATCTAGAATGTCAATTTAACCTATGACCTTGAGCTCAATTTCAAGGTCATCAACCAAGGACCTAAAATCAAAAGACCCTAGGACTTAATTATATTTAGTTCATGAGTTATATCACCATATGCATATTTTTAAATAAAAGAGGGGAGAAAACTCTAATTTGATGTAAGCGTACCCTTTATACCGATATGTATGTGTTACGACATGTCGCAACTGACAATTAAGTAAAAATATGTTGTCGATATCTTATATCGTGTTTGAAAAGGGGTGAAAATAAGCCAAAATCCAAATTTAAAAATGACCTTGACCTTTGACCTTGACCCTATTTTCTTTTTTTGGACCAAGGACCTCAAATCAAAAGACCCTAGGTCCCTATCACTTATGGTCTATCAATTACAATTACATTTTACTTATTCTAAATACAGAAGGGGAAATAACTCTCATATGGAGTTTCTGGACCGCTTCGGTCAAAATTATTCTTAAGATCCTGAGGATATAACGAACAAATTGGAGACATAAATTTGTCATAATCCTTTACGGTTGCGAAGGAGATGTGTACACAAGAAAAACAGTGTTTGGGAAGATAACTCTTACAATAAAAAGTATTCGGCTAAACAGGGTCAGTTTCAAAATCGCAATAACTGTTCGATATCATACACAAAAAATCTAAGCGACATCTTGCGAAACAAAAAAGCACCGTCAGAAAAAAGTGGCGGAAGAAGAAAAAAATAATAATCAGAAGAAAACCAATAGGTCTTTCCACAGAAAAGTGGAAAGACCTAATAAGAAGAATAAGAATGTTTATTAGTTTAAAATCCAAACAATAGGATTGTTACTAAAGAAAAACATATAAATAACAAAACGATAGACAGAAAACAATACAAACATGTAGCAATGAAAAAAATGTTAATATTTATTACAATACTTTTTTTGACAACATGCCTCCTCTATAAAGTTATCATTTCAAATATATTGATTATATATATTATAATATTAGTCATGAATCATACACAGTTCATTTTTATATATGACTTCATATTTGGTCAACAGCTTGACAGCGATAGGTTGATGTAATGTTTGGGCACCTTTTGGACCTGTCTGACACATGCATCCTGTTTGCCGACACTTTTCAATTTTTCGATATGTTGAATGGCCTTAAAAAAATTTCGTCACACTTTTCTAAAGTACTATACTTAACAGAATTACTTCAAATTTAGTTGCCAGCTTGAGAGCGAAACATTGTAACGTGTGGGCGCTTTTCGGATCTGTCAGACACAAATTTCCTTTTTGTCAGTACTTTGAATTACAATTGACAAGGGCGAATCCAGGATTTTTGAAAGGGGGTGTAATTCCAGAAAATGGAATTAAAAAATGTTTTGGACGAGTTTATGCAAAAAAAAAAACCAAATTAAACCTTGATCTGGCACTGGTATGGAGTCATCATAGAATTACAACACGTGACGTCTTGATTTGGAGTATGCTTAGAATTACAACACGTGACTTCTTGATTTGGAGTATGCTTAGAATCAAAACAAGTGAATTCTTGATTTGGAGTATTCTTAGAATTACAACACGTCAATTCTTTCAACTACTAAGATAATTCACAAAAATATTTTTACTTTGTGGAAAGTAGATAAAGTCATTTAAAAGTGTGTAGTCTCGTAGAAAATGGAAAAGCTCAGGTAGTACATAATCAAACCATATTTACTTTGTGATATTTGGTTTGTGAATCTTTAAATATTCAACAGCCATTAAAAGCTAAGAAAGCACACCATGTATCAATATGATCACACATAGACAGGCTTATAGGGGCAGATTCATCATTTATTGTCTATTTTATCTCCCAACTCCACTCAAGAAGAATAGTGCCCACTATTTGGCATGCATGCGATTCGTGGATTTTGTTTTTCTATGAATGAATAAACTCTAAGGTGGCGCGGGCAAGCGTGGGTGTGAACAACATTCTATAGAAATTGTATGAATAAAGCAGAGTACTACATGTAAGACACCAAAGTTATTTGAGGCGTGATGGATGGTTATTGAGTAAAGTGTGTGCATTGTACCTTATTTGTTTTCTACGTAATTTCAGTTTAAACTTATTCATCAGTTTAATAAAACAGTATGAT